GAAAATCTGTAACAGTGCAAAAGCATATATATACTTATTATCTGATTGATAATTTAAAAACTGTTATCATCTGTGTATTTTTAATAGTGTTAATACCAATATTTTGAGAACCTTAATTGGATTCAAAGTGGATGGATTGGTCGATAGATAGATAGATAGATAGATAGGCAGGAGTTGATTATGATCATTCCTGCACTTATGGTAATGATAAATGGAGAGTCGGGCTAACTTGATGGTTAAGACTCCCCCAGCAACAACATCTCAGTCATATCAGAAACTTGAAACTCACAGTTCTCCTCCCCATCACAGCCACAGCGATCTGAGGCAGCACACCTACCATCCCAGTCAGGAATGTAACAACTTAGACCACCTGTTAGCCTCCATATGTGACACAAACTTGTAGTATACCTGTGTTACAGTACAGACATGATATACTGACAGGAATATGAAAGATAGGAAGTCCATTTAGTGAAAACATATTTAAGTAGTCTGTGTTAAGGTATCATTTTACTTTTTAGATTGGCTGTATTTTCAACATTCCTCTTAAATGTATTGATTGATTGAAAATTGTATTAACAGATTGCAGAATGGGTACAATACAGTACAGCTCAATACACACAATTGTTAAGGGGATGCAGACCAGAGAAAGACTTTCGTCTTGTTTACATCAGGGTCCCCCATTTTTAATAACTGTGAATAGTTTCAACATAAACATATTTTGCCCACTTTGACATGTGTTTTATTCATCTGCATGTTCCATTCTTACATTAAATCTGTGTTTTTAATAATTTAAGGTAACTGATTAAGCAACATTGCCAAACAAACTTAGTTTTAAAACCTCTAATTTGAGGATATGCTGTTTTTTCCATGTCTTTTGGGACATCAAATTGAATATTTTTAAGCAATCTTCCCACATAACATTGTTGTCACAGTTAAAGTCTTGCTTCACCATGAAATGTAATGTTTGATGTTGGCTTAAAACAAGCCAACATACAAACAAATAACCCTGCATTTTGAACAAATCGCACACTCCCTGCTCCCTGAGATCCCTGCCCTGTGGCCCCCCGGGGGTCCTTGGCCTTTAGTTTGAGAACCAGTGGCCTCCAGCAGCAGGATTAGCCTGGCCAGCTGCCCAGAGAGACCCTCGGCCCTGGACGCTGACACCAGGCCTGACCCCGAGGTGGCTACTATCAGCGACACTGACGGGATTTGGACAGCACTTGGTGTGTGTGTGTGTGTGTGTGTTGTTCATTCAGTTGGACAACTGTTGAGCCAGTACAGATTTGTGCAGCGGTGTTCTTTGTACGTGTGTGTGCGTGCTTGTATGGTCAATTCTTTCCGGGGGTTAACTGCTGATCCAGTACAAATGGGAGGGGTTGGGGGAGGGCTGAGGGCAGTCGTGTGCTCCTGGAACATCTGCCTCTGTTTCTCCTGAGTCAAGCTTTGGTCAGGAGTGGGGGAGGCAGCAGGGGGGAGGAGATGGAAGAGGAGAAGGAAGAGTCAGTGTAGGAGGAGGAGGAAGTTGAAAAGATACAACGTGAATAGGCGACAGACCCAAACACTGACTGTTGAAAATGGGATGCAGGATTATATAAACCCCTCTCCACCTCTGGTCTATTGTGTTCACATATAGGGGCATGAATTTAAAGCGTGTGCAGTGCTGAAGTGTAACTAAGTACATTTACCAAAGTACTTATGCTTATACTCGACTGCATCTCAGAAACAAATATTGTTATTTTTACTACACTACATTAGTCAGACAGCTGTGATTACTTTTCAGAAAGCAGTCTTTAAGACACTTCTTGTCGAGTGAAACCATACATTTGCATACGTTGAGGTTAAACGTACTATTTTAAAGCTTTTTCGATGAGAGTAAAATGCAACATGCAATGATGTATTAATGTAAAAAATACAAATGTTATATATAATCAGAGACAATGGAAGCTTACAGATTTTAAACAAAAGAGGCCCCAGAATAGAGCCTTGGGGAACTCTGTATGCCTGATTGTCGCTCAGATGTGTGATTACCTATTATACTAGATAGTAGTGCCTGTCCTTCATTCAGAGTTTCCTACTGTGCCAGGAAGTCCCACACAGCATTTTCAATGTCAATTCAATTCAATTCAAAACCTTTATTTATCCAGGTAAAATCCCATTGAGATCAATGATCTCTTTTTCAAGGGAGACCTAATGTATCACTACAGTACTGAGTTCCAGTAATACTACTGAGACTTTGCCACTATCTGTGTTTAATGTCATTAAAGACCTTAACAGGATAAGTCTCAGTGCTGTGGTGTGGGTGACTGTGAGGCAACAGAACAGTTATTTAGTGCCAATGTTTTTTTCAATATTACCCTAAAGCAGGTGGTTTGATGTGGGCCTAAAGTTTTTTTTTGGCAATGAGTGGTTTGATGACTGCAGTTTTCAGTGGTGAGACACCTCAGAACAGAAGTTTACGTCGCAGATCTAAATCCATGAGATTAGATTCGATTTTTGAAATTCAAGTTGTCAGAAAATAAAGGTGTCTACATGGGGGATTTCAGATCTTGTATAAAGTCCTTCAAGTTGTTATTGTTAATTTGATACAACTGTGTCATATCCTGGTCCTGGGTGACATTGTATGCCTTATTAAGACTTAACCATCACAACCATGTTTATGTATGTCTGTAAGTTGTTGCTATTGTCGGGACCCCCTTGAAAACGAGATGGTGCATCTCAAGGGGTTTATCCCAATGAATAACATTTATATATATAAAAAGCATTATTGGTGGGTAAAAACACTACGTTGCTGATCTGGAAAGATACAATTAATTAAAAAAATAGCACTCAATCTGTTGACAGAACAGAAAAAAAAACGAAAACTTTTAAAGGATAACGTCAAACAAACTGCATTTACAACTATACAGTATGTGCTTGTATACGTTGTAAGCCTTGGTCATCGGTTCGTCTCTTGCTCGTCTAGTTTTATTTTGTGTGACTACACTACTACGGTTGTATGTTGATGTACTTTGTATTGCATGGTTGTTGTTTATGGATCTTTAAAGTTTAAAAGTTTTGAACAAGGGCGAAGAGAAGAAGAGGTAGAGCAGCTGTTTATTCAACGTATTCACAGGTCTGCTGCCTGATTCATCAGGAGCAGAATCTGCTGAATTGGCCACGTATGAGTTCAACACCAGGAATTGGAATCACATTTTTCTGTTGTTTTATTGTATTTACACCAAAATAGAAATAGTAAAAACAAGGCCAAACAAACTGAACAAGAGTAAACATAAACATTTAGCTAATGTAGGCCTAGAAGTTGGTAAAACAAGATGAATACATATTTTAAAAGTATATACAGTATAAACACACTACAAGAAGGAAAATTAAATACAATGTAAGACTGTTTTTATCAATGGTAAACAACAATAAAATAGTGCAATGTTGTAAAAATATGCTGGAAGGATTTATGTAACAGATTTTTCTAATACTTGACATTGGTTGATATTTACAGCATGTATACCTTATAGACTTAAATTGGATCTTTGATCATTATTGTCGCAGGTGTTTTTGGAAACAGTATGAAAGCCATTCTGGATAAGCTGTCATCATACATCATATCCCAACACGGACTGAACTGCTCCCCTCATCATTGGAAAAGCCTTTAAAAAGACTTTGAGATTTTGAAGTTTTTTGAAGTACAATGTTGAATGATTTGGTTGGGACCTGTCACTGTGCGTAGCATTCGAACATTTCAAGATTTTATGCATTACTTAAAGTTTTTCTTGTGGTAGTTGTTAACTTTTTATGTTGCCGTCTTGGGCAGGTCTCTCTTCTGAAAGAGATTGTTGTTCTTATCCCGTTAGATATGGGTTAAATCAATTATACACATACAACAAAACATTGCACAATTTCTGTCTAAAACCAAGATGCATATGTGGTCTTCATGAGTTCAGTGGTCATAACTTTCCAGTGCAATAACGGGGGGCAGGTTTACAACACAGCTCCTCCCTCCTTGAAGATCAGTTGACTAGGAGGGGCTGGATTGTCCTCCCAGTCCACAGAGCATCTGGCTGAGGAACGACAGATGCTGACAGCTGGACTGACACCCAGCATATGTCCCTTTCTTTATTCCTGCTCCACTCAGACAATAGAGTAGAAGGGACGGGGGTGCTTTGTGTGGAGAAGGTAGACCTAATAGCTTGTGACTCCAGAAAAGAGCCCCCATTCTCCAGGAGAGCCTGGAGAGCAATTAGCCCGTCTCTGATCCTAGCCTGGGGAGTTATTATGGGTGGACTGAGCCCACAAAAACCTCTATAGTCTATTCTCATTCATGCCACATTAAGATGTTTATTTTTTCATTACTGCGCCAGTACAATGATGATTTAAGTTTGTTGTCCAAATTGTATTTCAGGGATAACTGCACACAGTCTTTTATAATAGTATTAATCAAACACATGGTTGGCTAGTAACGGATTACATGTAATCGGGATAACGTTAACAGATTGCAATAAACAAATAGCTAATCAGTCCAGATAACATTAGAAGAAAATGCCGCAATTAGATTTGAGTTACATTGTTGAGGTTTATTTGATAACATTTCTGATCATGTCTTTAAAATAAAACAAATGTAAAATGATGAAACTTTAAAAAATATGATAATGTTGGTTTGATTAAACAACATCGGCACGAAACAAGAGACAGTACAAAACAAGTAAAATATGATTTGCTTTTTTTATAGTAGGTCACTTTTCTCAGGTTGCTCTTTTTTTTGCAAATGGTGACTTTACTTGAAAATGTTCGTAACATTTTCAACAGAAAGACAATTTTTTTGTGTAAATGAATTATTTTCAATGTTTGATCCTGAAGTCCACATTATTCAGATTAGATCGCCTATGTGATTACAAATGTAATGTGTTCTATTCAATTCAGTAATTTCAGAGTAATCTGACCCAACCCTGCACACTTACTCTGGCTGCTACGTGCGCCGACCACGTGTGCTTTGTTTTGCTACGTGATGACGTCACCCAATGCGTAACATAGCGGAAGTAATTTGAATTTACACCAAGTAGACACAACACGGATACATGCAGCTCACTTACACCAATATTAAAGTAAGTCTCTGCTATGCGAAGCACTAATATGGGGCGAAAGTATTCACATACTAGTTTGTTTGTAAGCACAGGTCACTCAGAAGCCTCGCAATGAGAGGTTAGAAGCTAAGCTAACTGTTAGCATTGAGATCCATTTTTCTTGAATAGAGTCACAGTCTGTTTTTCTGCGAAGTGCAACAGAAACAGTCACACTCATGAAATGCATACACAAGACGTTACACATTGCCATTAAAGCGGCCGTTCAATACACTGCTGGTTACCTGACACATTGTGAATGAACTCTCCTTTCTGTCTCTTCTCTGCAGGAATGGGTGTGAAAGGTCTTCAGAGCTTTATGGACCGCTGCTGTCCAGAGGCGTGTGTGTCTGTGAACCTGAGAGAAATGTCCCGACAACACGCTGCTAAAAGACAGACAGGCTGCACGACCACTACTAACAGTACCAGTTGAGTTTATATCAGTGTGCAAGTAGACATAGAAGTTGTGTTAGGTTGTTCTGTTCATCTTTGTTTTAATGTTGTGTCTCCTGCAGTTGTTTGTCATCGTTTTTAGTAGTTTTGTGTCTCTTTGTGGTTGTTTGAGCTTTTGTGTCTCTTTGCAGCTGCTTCTGCTCTATTTGCAGCCTTATTGATTTTTGCTGTGGTTGTTTTGCCCCTTGTTGGTTTTATTTGATGTCTTGTTGCAGTTGTTGTGCTTCTTTGTGTAGTGTTTCTGTGACTCTGTTATTATTACGTGCATCTGTCTGGCCTGGGCGATGAGCCAATAAATTAGCTGTACATTTGAACAAATCAAAAATACATTTTATACACATCTTTTCATAATATAGATATTTATAGTATGACATTAGTTTAAAGCATTTTATGTATCTTCTTTTGGCCAAGTCAAGTATCTTATTTTAAGCTATGGTAGTTGGTTACTTGATTACCAATACAAACGCTGCTGCTCCCAGCTACATACGTAGACTTATCATCAAGTGAAGCTGGTAGCTTGAATCCGTAGAGTAGTGCAAACAGGAATACAGACAAAGGTAAATCAGTGACAGCCAAGGATATCAGTGTGAATGGCTGGAAACAATCAGGAACACAATCTTGATGATCTAATAAAACCAAAAGAGTCAAAATGACAGTAAATTACAAATGTCTTTCTGTCAATAATTTGGGTTAGCATGCAGACCGGCATTTTGTTACAGTTGTGTTTCCCCACCCATCAGGACCCACACTTGTTGTGGATGGTATGGCCTGCCTGCGCCACTGGTACTCGTGTAAAGACTGGGTGTGTGGGGGGCAGTGGAGGGAGTACATGGATGGGCTGAAGGGCTGGGTGGAGGCCTTCAGCTCAGCTGGCATCAGACTGGTCTTCTTCTTCGACGGAGTGGTGGAAGAGCAGAAGAGACAGGAGTGGGTGAGAAAAGAAACTCTGAACTTTTGGCGTTCAAATAATCAAGCTTGAATATGGTGCATGCCGGGCCTTCACTGTCTTCAGTTACATAGTTTATACAGAGTTTTCTGTAGCACTATAGTGCAGTTGTTAAGTTCAACTTCAACTTTATTGTCATCCAATCACATCCAAAGTATCCCTTTAATAATGTCATAGCATGTCGCACACAAAGTATGAAACGGCTCTCATATTTAACTATTAACTTGCAGAAGGACTGTGATTTACTCAATTTTCTTTTCTTTTTTTTCCTTTTATTGTCATTATACAGTAGGCCTACTTACTATGTAACAAAATGGTTTCTCTGCATTTGACCCATCCTAGTGTTAGGAGCAGTCGGCTGCCATTATGAACGGCGCCCGGGGGAAGATCATCCTTCTGTGAACAACATCTCCTTCTGTCCACAGGTGAAGAGGAGACGCAGAGTAAACGGGGAGATTTCTAAACTGTTTCGTCACATCAAAGCTCAAGGAGAGCAGCCCGGTAGAGAGCTCTTTTGTCTGCCTTCTGGTCTGGCAACATTCACACGCTTTGCTCTCAGGTCAGCATTTTCAAGACCAATTACGATGAAATCACAGTCATCTCTAAACACTGTGAAAATAAGTTTCTAATTGTTCGCAAGTTATTTTACAATTGGTTGAATCTGATATCCAATAATCGTTCTTGTTATACTTTTCTTAATGTATATTTGGCTGTTCGCAGGTCACTGGGTCAGGAGGTGTTTTGCTCAGTGCGGGAGGCTGACTATGAGATTGCCAGCTATGCTCGTCAGCATGGTAGTATGGGTATTCTGGGACAGGATTCCGACTTCATCATATATGACAGGTTTGTTAAATATTAGAGTAAATATATCGACCTAAAGGCATATTGTTTTCAATAACATTAAAATCAACTGATAAAACATTTGCACAGAGTTTGAAATTCATTGAACTTTACTATCTTTTAGGATCTGTTGATAATTCCATGCAGTATGGGTAATACAAATAATAGGAAGAAATCAAGAATAGCTTTTTAAAGCAGGCTAATTCACATTAGAGTACCTGCTTACAGTTTAAGTGCTGAAATTGATTTTTTGATTTTCGGGAATTTATTCATAAATTGCTCATGGAGAAAGTTGTATCTTTTAAAGTGCCCCCTGCTTCTCTGTGGCAAAGCTGCGGATACACAGCCTCACCACGGTCATGTACGACCGACAGAGGCTCTGCCAAACCATCGGACTGACTGTTGCCCAGCTACCACTGCTGGCCTGTCTCCTAGGTAACGACGTGGTGTCAGAGGATAAGATGATGCACATCAGGAACAACGCCATGGCAACATACAGGTGACTTGGGTTTTACATTGAGGGTTGCTCTTAGTTGAATTCATCTTTAAAAGTTGCTTTTAATCAATGTTTTTGTTTCTTAGGATAGACAACCCCATAGCACACTCTGGTGCTCCCCAGGGGCAGATGGTTATGGCTGTATCCCATCTCGTGAGCTCTGTGTGGGGCAGAGAGGAGCAAGAGACTGGGCTCATCCCTCAGACTCTGAATCTGTCAGCTCCTCACAGAGAGCTACTGAAGAGAGGCGTTCGCTCTTATTTACTACCTGGAGAGGAAGCTATTCAGCTCGGTGACATCTCTGCACCTTCCTCTGCCTTTGAGAAACATGTTAGTTCAGAAATATTAAAGGTATGTCCTGTACCTCCTTTAACTCATCAATGGAGAAGACCTGAGAGCCGAAACCTCCTCTGACTTAAAGGTCCCATGACATGGCCATTTCTACTGATCATAATTCCATTGTTGAGGTCTACAGAATTACATTGTTCAATGTTCCAAACTCACATTGGTTTCTCATGCAGCATCTCTGTATAGTATGTGTATTCACTTTCTGTCCTAAACGGCTTGTTGGAGCCCCTGCCCCCCTCCCTATGAGCCCACTTTGCTCTGATTGGTCAGCTCGCCCACTCTGTTCTGATGAGTCCACCACCGTTACAGCGGATCATCAGTGTTTATGTGTTACAATGGCGTTAGAAACCAGAAAATGACACCAGTGACAAGCAGATGAGAATGTTGCGTGGGGTCTGGGTGCCGTGTTGGCGGGGCTCGCTGCTCCGTCCTTTGAGGCTCGAGGAGCGGACAGTGTGAGCTGGATTACTGGTGTCGTTTCCTGGTTGCTGCGTGGGGTCTGCGAGACACCGCGGAACTCAGCCTGAGCACACACACACACACACACACACACACACACACACACACACACACACACACACACACACACACACACACACACACACACACACTCACAGTCTGGCTGTGTGCGGAGATCCCCGGAGCCGCGGCTGAGAAAATATAAGGCTGAGTGTGTGTGTGTGTGTGTGTGTGTGTGTGTGTGTGTGTGTGTGTGTGTGTGTGTGTGTGTGTGTGTGTGTGTGTGTGTGTTGTGTGTGTGGTGTGTGTGTGTGTGTGTGTGTGTGTGTGTGTGTGTGTGTGTGTGTGTGTGTGTGTGTGTGTGTGTGTGTGTGTGTGTGTGTGTGTGTGTGTGTGTGTGTGAGGCGCTCCGCGGATTGTTCCATTTGGACCTGGGTATCGTTACGTCACTATACTCAGAAAGAAAAAAATGGAACAAGAAAAATCTCCAATGAGGCGTTCTGGGGCAGCACAGACAGGTCTTTTCTGTGTTAGAGTTTTGCTCGCTACAGGGTGTACTTTGAGGGTTTGTGACTTTGCAGACCGGTTACATAACACACAAGGGGACGGGTAATAACCAGAAAAGCATGTCATGGGACCTTTAAATAGATATGCATATGGAGCATAAGAAGTGTGCACATTTTTTTCCTACTTTCAAATCTTTCTTCCAGTGATCAGCAACTCAACAAGTTATCTGTTACTGTAACGCTATAATACACAATATATTACATATCAAATGATCTCATTATGTTTAAATGTGTTCTTCTCCAGGCCTGTAGAGAGAAGCATGTAGCAGCAGAGGGTTTCATGGTTTACAGTGTTTTGTGTGAGGGAGTGATTGAGTGTAGCAACACTCTGGAGGATGAGGAGGACACTGAGCTGCTGCCTCAGGCACTCGTCTACAAGCCCTGCAGACAACGCATCTATGGGCTGCTGCTGTTCAACGGGCATGAAGGTAGGACAGTCGATTACTGGAGATCATAAATACATATATACACACAGATACAGACACACATGCACCCTGGCTAAACCATGCATTAAGTCAGAGAACAACAAATGTAACATAAGGTCATAATCACAAAAATGTACTCAAGCAAATGTAACTTTCTCAGGAGAGTCTCAAGTATACCAACCATGTAGTCATACTCTGTTTGGTTTAGGCCAGGTGTGACGCCTGGGAAGAGCGGCAGGAGGCCTGACATGGAGCATATAACACCAAGGTTACATTGCCGGATCATCATTTGTTCATAAATGACCTCTTTAGCCCTCCTCCTGCCAATTTCTACACAGATTTGATGTTTACAATGTAGCATTATCAGGTGGGAAAAGGGTGTGTCACCTGGAAGAGTTGATAGTGATTTTACTGCATCTCAAACTCATTTTATATCCACCACAGGAGGAAGTGACACTGTTAGTCTTAAGCTCTTACCGTACCAGTGGGCACGAATAAGGTGACGTTTTCAAAAGTGTGGCATCAACTTGTTACCACAGTATCAGTTTAATGACATCCCAGCTATACCCCAGGTAAAAGTACGTTTGATATCAAGCAGGAATGATTAGAACATTAACATTTTCAAATGCAGCTCCTCCGGGTAAAGTATAAATAATGTCAGGGTTGCAGTGCGTGTGTGAAACTGGCTGACCCTAACTCTGACTCTGTGTTTTCAGGCAGCAGGGTCGACCTTCCAGCCATCAGGGAATGGTTCGTCTACGCTGGAAACGCTCTGAAGGAGCCTGACATGGTCCATCCCGTTCCAATCAGCCTCCAATGTACTGTACCTGCTGTTTTCCTCACATACTTCACATACACAATCTGATTTCCATCTAGTAATGCCAGGTGATGATAATTAAGACGATGAGGACATGAGTGTTTTTAATGTTTTTTAATGCTTCATTGGAATGATAATTTCCTCTATAATTAAATTATTCCTCGGCATCAATGAGTGTCGGAAAGGCTGTGAGAAGCTTCGCCTGGTTGTGCTTAATACATTAAAAGCATTTGCCTCTTTTCCTGGAGTGTTTTTCAACACAAAGACAGCATGTTTTTCTCTGTTTGAATGTGTAGATAATCAGCCCGTTCTGGACTTGTTATGGTTCGGTAACGGTCCTGAGGTTTCGTCTCTCCGCCTGAAGTCCTTCCTTTCGATGTTTGACTGCCAGGAGCTTTCAGAGTTATATGGAGCTGTTGAAGACTCTCTCCTGGCTGCTCTCTGCCTCGTCACCTACATAGCCCTCCAGGTATCACCAACTCTTTCCTTTTTCTTTGATAGTTTTTAGGATAAGGAAGGAAATAAACAGAGATCAATAGCCTAGCTCAAACACATGCAGAGGAGGGATTATTTGAGTAAAATGAATTTAGCAGGAAAATGTGGAAATACTTTGTCTAACTACATTTAGTCCAAAAAGGGAAACTGAAAAGCCCACTCAAGATTTGAACAAGCAGTCCAATAATTTCATTATGGGACTTATCACTCCCATATCTCAAGAATCATATACATGTGTCAGAATGTATGTCTATAGAAACAATGAATGGAAAATCTCATTACGTTTTATGTTATTTTAATTGAAAATACATACGTGGTTTTCTTCATGGTGGGTGTTCTAATTGCTAAAACACATGAACACATTATTAGTCATGGGTACTTCACTGAGATTGATGTGGCTGTTCTGGTTTTCATTGGTCAGGCTGCATGTTTGGCCTAGCCTTCAATGAATATGTTAAAATGCTCAATGAGGAGGCATCAGTTTCTACTGAGGCATTTCAGTCCAGATAATGGCAGTGTATGGACAGTAAAGCTACACCTGGTGATTTATGTAAACAGAAAATGAAAGACTAATGTATTTGGTGACAATTAAACACACAAGTCAGCTTTTGATATGGGATTTGCTACAGCAGTATATACAGTAATTATTCCACCCTTTGTCAACTTGTGATTTGGAGTTAAACATCACTTGTTGACAGTCTGTTCTCTGTTGTTTGGCTTAATGGTAGCCACTATCACGCAGGGCCCAGTTTAGCCGCAGACACTGGTCTTTGTAACTCCGGCTCTTGCGTCAACACCGGCTCTGATAACCACCCAGGAGCTTTGAATATCTTAAGAGCCAATACCTTATTCACCCTATTACAATCGGGTCCTTATTTTGGTTCTACATTGTAATGTGTCCTTTTTGTAATTCTGTTGTAATGCCTTGTTGTCCTAGCAAAGAGATAACTTTTCAAAGTTTGTTAAAGAAGCAGAGATTTGTGTTTTTGCTTTGTACATACTGCATATACGTCATCTGATTGAGCTTTAACACACAAGAAATCACGGGAGCACAACACCTGGGTAAAGGTGCATGCGTCATTTTGCAGAATCGAAACACAAATTACACTGTAGATTCATTTATCAACTACATAACAAAAAGACAAAAAATGTATTTCCAAAGAAAATAATCAAAGTGTTTTCAAAGTGCTTTGATTGAAACATCTTTGTGTATAAGAAATATACAATGCTTTAGTTTAGTTTCAAGGAACTGTAATCAATCATTGCATTCCAATAACATCGTCGGATTGAAGGTAGAAAGTATATATTTTGTAAATCAAAATTGATGCAGCAGATCCAGAGATATCGTCTATTTTAAATCTATGCATTCTTCTTCCTTGTCAAAATATGTTGCCATTATTACCTTTTGAATTAAAATGCTATATTTCTTCTTCTCTAACAAAATCGCAAGCAAGCCAGCTTTTTCAAGTCACAGGTGAGAATATTCACAATTAAGAAAAATAGTGTTTTATTACAAATCGCAATAAAATCCTGTTGCCCAATTCCTAGAACCAACCACATTGTTTTTACAGTAACAAACAAACTTAAAAACACAACAAAAACACATGAACAGTGACCAGAATCAAACATACAATCTGTGATATTTTTACAAATCAGCTAAATGTTAACCAAATTCTACCCAGAAGCACTTTTTTATACAGATTTGAACAAAGTGCTTACAAACACTTACATTAACAGGCAGCCTTTTAGACAGATTTAGATGGACACTTGAAGCCAATCATTTAAATGGATGAAGGACCATCAGACAGACAGAAGAGCATCTTGTCAGGCTGCCGTTGGATGAGTGGTCAGGCCGACAGACAGCAGTAGCTGTTGTTGTCTGATCGCTGCTGCATTCACATTCCCTCGTCACTCTTCAATTTAAATAGCTGCAGGGTTTGTTTGTTTTGTACACACAACTGGGCAGCCTTGTTTCTGCATCCAGCATTGTTCCTTTCTCTGTTGAATTGTTGCACAGACAGCAGACCAAACAAACTGAGCCACACAGAACACACACTGGATGTGATTGAATTGGCTAACCATATATTGTCCACTGTGCGGGTGTGTGTGTTTGTGTGTATGTATGTGTGGTGTGTGTTTTCAGATACAAACGTTGTCTCAGGAGGACTGTGATGCTTACCTGAGTCAGGCTGTGTGTCTGAGACTTAAATCCCAGAAGGAGCTTCAACATATCAAGGTTAGTAATAAACACACATTCTTCAATACTTTTTTTTCTCTTCAGAACAGATCAGTTTTCAGATTTGTACTCACTGGCTTCGTCCCGATGCTCCCTCAAGTTGTTGAGTTTCCTGCCGCACAAAGACAATGTGCCCTGCAGTTGACTGTAAACAAGGCCTTTTTGTGACAAACACAGTGGAGAAAGTGTTTCCAGTTATAGAAAGTGAGGAGAAAATGGGGACAAAACATAAATAAGCTGCTGATTGTGCCCCAAGAAAAACAAATAAATAAACAAATAACCCAAAACAATTCTTCTTCAACTGCAGTATGTTTGTATTGCTAATGGTAATTTTCTGTTTAATTTTGGGCGACTGTGAAGTGTATTTAAGTGTCATCGAGCAGCTGGCACCTTGCATGTGTGTGAATACTTGTATATGTCAAAACGCTTTGAGTAGTCGTAAAGACTGGATAAAGTGCTATATAAATACAGTCCACGTTTCAAGGCTTTATTGTCATTAGCACATTAGCTACAGTGTAGTTATGGCAATGAAAAACTTTTAAAAAACACATACATTTGTCTAGTTTTCATCAATGAATATATTATTTGGGAATACAACATCAACAAATACACATATTTATGCAAAGACATCCTGAAAGCTCAATACGACATCACTGTCGCAGCCGTAGGTAAAGTTGCACCATGAGACAAACATCGTGAACAGCTTGGATTGCTGGTGTGTCTTTAATTTATAAACAAAGTACAACTAGCTGCAGACAAGTGTAGGTCATTACAATCTGAATGATCAGAGCAGCAATCTGCTGCTCAATGATGAAGAACTGATGTTCAGAACGACGTGATTGGACAGAAATGGACCGAAAATGATTTAGAAATAATTTTGACAATTAATTTAGTTATGTATAAAGTAGAAACACTGAACTCTTTCCTTTTCCAGTTTCCTAAATGTGAGGATTTGCTTATTTTTCTCCTCCAACTTTATTTGAGTATGTTTGGGACTTATTTAAACGTTGTGCTCCATTAACTAAGGCTTAATAGTCCGTTAAATCATAGGAGTAATTCATAGTTGATCATTCATTCGATAATACCTATACTCAATAGTTGCAGTCTCCATCTGGACAGAAACGTCCCTGAATCAGCGATGCTTCATGGTTACTTTGGTCTCCTCTTGTGAACTCTCACAGACTCGAGGATCAGAGAGTCAGCTGTGCTTTTCCATTCTCTGGGAAAACGGCTGTGCTGTTTGCTGCCTTGTTGTAGCGCCATTTATTTTTACTGCTTAATTACCATACTTATGTCTAGTAATTTGTATTTTTGGTGCTCGACTGTTTTCTACACAATAATTAGGGCTGGGCGTTGATTTGAATATGCAGTCTGGGAGAAGTTCAGAGTTGCAGCATGGGGGTTAACTAGTGTATGGATTACCTACACACACACACGCACACAAATTCAACACATGAGTATGCTCACATATGCACTCGGAGGTGGTTCAACACACACTCATTGCTATTTGATGTTTGTGTGTGTTTGTGTACACAGTGGCTTGCTCCCTTCAGCGCATCACATCAGACCTGTCCCTTGTTTCTTCACTACACACCCCAATAACAAGTTTCTTTTAATTCAAATGTAAATAGTGTGTGTGCATGAGTGCGTCTTCTGAGTGAAAATTAGCTGCACCATTTGTGTGTGTGTGTGTGGGGGGGGGGGGGAGGGAAAGGGGTTGTGGGTAGTTTTGGGGATATATTGGGTTTGTTGCAACATTCCTCCCCATGGGACTGTGATTGTGTGCGTGTGTTGATTGTGTGTGTGTGTGTGTGTGTGTGTGAGAGAGAGAGAGAGACCTAGAGAGTGCTGGCGACAGTCGCCTGTCTGTCCTGGCTGACGCTCACCACATGGAGCTATTTACACCAAGCACACTCCGCCCCGCTGGACACACACACACACGTTTCTGTCTTTGTCTCTCTCACTTTGTGTGTTCTCATATTCTTTTTCTTTATATTCTCAACCACTTTCCCTTTTTTATATCCCTCTTCACGTTGCTCTTTATCTCTTTTCTCTCCCTCTCTCTTTGTCGCAGTGTGTTTGTGTGCTCTTTCAGGCTTTTGTGTCTCTGTCCAGTGGTTCATTGTTTTCAGAAGGTGAAGCTGTGTTTGACTGGAAGCAGGTGGCAGGGAGGGCTGTGAGTGTGTGTGTGTGTGTGTGTGTGCATGCGTGCGTGTAATCACGCTATCTGCCAGAGGACAGGTGAGAGCAGAAAACACACACTCACACACACACACACACACACACAGGGAGAACATCTGCATGCTGTCGTCACAGTTAGCTTGCTCTCAGCTTCTTCTTCAACCTCTTCATCTTCTCTTTCTTTATTGTCCTCCTCCAGTATCTTCTTTTCTTCTCGCCTTTTATGGTCTTTGTCAGCAAACAATGCAACCCTAGCCCTGTGTTTCCCTTAATGGGTCAACTGAAACTATCATAAATAACAAATAAAAAGGAGTCGCATTCATATTTAACATAAATCAAGTAAATATAGGTTGACTAATTGTTTTTCGTGGTATATTTCAATTAAGGTTTATTTAATTGGTTTTTATGCTTTTTTAATGCTGATTGAAAGAAAATGAAAAAATTCACATCTTTCGTAAACATAACATAAAATAGTGCTTTTTCAAGATTCTTGACTAATTGATTAGTCGACTCAGAAAGAATTGAGTCAATTAAGACAGACATTTTCTTTTGTTTCTATAAAAAGCGTGAAATTCAGAAACCAGACCAGCCAATCACTTTACCTTGCTGCTCGTGGCAGTGAAGTCTGGTGGTGGTCTGCGTCGTATATAATTGTCTGATTTATGCTTCAGGGTTGAGAAAATAAGGTTGTGCAAATTTGGGTTGGGAAACACTAATTGTTGAAGCAGCTGTGAGTAAACATTTTAGAAATTTGTTCTGGATGGTGACACTAAGCATATTGAAGAAACAGATGGCTCTCTACAGCGAGACTGTTTAAATGATGCTATGCTGCAGAGAGCTATGCTAAGAAAGCTATATATACCATCAGGCATTGCACTTAAGGATACATGGTACACTCAAGAGAGGAGAAGGAGTAAAAGTGTTTATTGTGAGATAAAATTCCACTTGTGAATTACTCCAAGTATTTTGTAAACAAATAACTCAACACAACTTTTTTTTTGGCTCATTTATTATGGATGGTCCACTAGCATTGATCTGGATTGAATGAATTGTGCAACAGCTATTATGTAACAGTACAGAGAAATTATCTGAGTATCCAAAAGTGTTTTCTTTTGCTACACCGATTATATATTCCGCTATCCCTGGATTGTGTGTAGGAAATGAATGAGTGATTTCAGACACAGCCACTGTTGCTGCAGTCATAGTTGTCTTATCTTTAAGGCACATTGTCTCAAATGATCAAGCCTCCTGATGAAGATGAACTAACAACCAAATGTAAAACCAAACATTTCTTCCATGTTCTTTGTCAGTTGCCATTCCTGTGCAGTCGGGCGGTGCAGCTTGGCTCTCTCTACGTCCGGGGACTGGCCCACCTGTTGGGGGCTAACTGTGCGAGCGGCGGCCCGCTGCCCGGCGCCGCCCTCATGCCTTGGAGCAGCTTCGATGGACGGCTGTTCCACTCAAAGTACCTGCTGGCTCACAGTGGCTCAGACAACACTGTGCTGCTGGACCGCGATGTGAGTGGAGATGGAAAACAAAAAGGGGAATGTATGTGGTTGTGTTGTATGTGGCATGATTTTGGGGAGAGACAAATATTACACAGATGTCTTCTGTTGCAAACTTTTACAATAAATGAAAAGATTGATATTGAGATGTAATCCATTGTGTGTTTTTGTCTGACTCTCTCCAGCCGTTCTGTTTGTCTCAGTTTCTCTGCCTGAGAGAGAAACTTACAGAAACCTGCAGGAAGCGAGGCAGAGTCCTGCAGTCCAGACCCAAAGCACCACAACAAGCTCCTGGACCCCCAAACAGAGACAGACACACAGGTGAGACACAAGACTGATCATCAGAGATTAACACTAGCCATTTACAACCTTAGCCAACTTTACAAGTTGTTTTCAGTAGGGCAGATAATGAGAATCCTTGAGATGTGTCTTAAAGGTCCCATGACATGGCCATTTCTACTGATCATAATTCCATTGTTGAGGTCTACTAGAATAGATTTACATTGTTCAATGTTCCAAAATCACATTGGTTTCTCATACAGCATCTCTGTATAGTATGTGTATTCACTCTCTGTCCTAAACGGCTTGTTGGAGCCCCTGCCCCCCCTCCCTATGAGCCCACTGTGCTCTGATTGGTCAGCTCGCCCACTCTATTCTGATGAGTCCACCACCGTTACAGCGGAACATCAGTGTTTATGTGTTACAATGGCGTTTGTTAGCCACCAGAAAATGACAAACAGATGAGAATGCTGCGTGGGGTCTGGGTGCCGTGTTGGCGGGACGTTGCGGGGCTCGCTGCTTCGCCTTTTGAGGCTCGAGGAGCGGACAGTGTGAGCTGTATTACTGGTGTCGTTTCCTGGTTGCTGCATCTGAGAAAAGATAAGGCTGAGTGAGTGTGTGTGTGCCGGTGAAGCTCCGCGGAGTACCGCGGCTGAGAACATATAAGGCTGAGTAAGTGTGTGTGTGTGAGGAGCTCCGCGGGTTGGTCCATTTGGACCTGGATATCGTTACGTCACTATACTCAGGAAGCAAAAAATGGAAAAAGAGAATTCTCCAATGAGGCGTTCTGGGGCAGCACAGACAGGTCTTTTCTGTGTTAGAGTTGTACTCACTACAGGGTGTACTTTGAGGGTTTGTGACTCTGCAGACCGTTTACATGCATAAAAAGCTACATAACACAAGGGGACGGGTAATAACCAGAAAAGCAAGACATGGGACCTTTAAAAGTGATTTGTGCCTGTTCGGCTCAGTCAGTAGGGGCTTGGACTGGGAGCTGTAGGGTCGCCGGTTCAAGTCCCCGACCAGACCTAAATATGGAGTGTGGACTGCTACTGCGACAGTTCACCTCCTGCCCTGCCGTGGTGACCTTGAGCAAGGCACCGGACACCCCCCTTCCCCCCCCACTCCCATTGCTCCCCGGGCGCTGTTCAATAGCTGCTTACTGCTCCTAGTGCTAGACTCCTGGTACTAGGATGGGTTAAATGCAGAGGCCAAATGTCGCTGTGTGCTGTGTGCTCTGCATGTGTGACCATTAAAGAGGGTTTCATCCCTCCCAATTCTATTCTCTATTATTTTATTCTCCTTCCTAACTTTAACTCAAAATTCACTCTTCACTAAATGTTTTTTCTTTGTTCTCTCGTGTAACATAATTATGTTCTATTTATGCTGGGACTCTTTGGAAAAAGAGTTTTTGATCTTGTGACCATCTTGGTTAAATAAAGGTCAAAGAGAGAAAACGTTTTGACCTGAATTAAGAAATGTTTGGGTGTTTGTAGGGCGCCCTGGTGGCCCAGTGGTTAAGATGCATATTCTGTAACCACAACGTAGCCTGTGCAAATCTGTCTGGAGACCTTTGTGGCACGTCACCCTCTTTGTCTTCCCATGCATACTTTTCTACTGTAAACCAGCCAATAATAAGCTAAATGTCTAACATTATAAAAGTAGAATGATGATGTTTGTATTGTTTTATGCTCATGTGGCTCTAGTTTTGGAGCTAGTCTTTATTTCGAATGACTGTCCGAAGTACAGAGAAGTAAAACATCCCGCAGTGATGTGTTCGTTAGAAGTTAGAAAGACGCTGTGGTTGAAATGAAAAACTGATGAAAATACTGCTGGAGCCAAACATTGCACTCTGACAGCTCATCTGTGGTTGTAGTTCTCTGGTGCCCCTCACCGAACCACATTACCCAGAGGGCCGCGCTGTAACGAGCTCCATGTGTGCTGCGGCCTTAATGCATACCACCCTGTGCACGTGCACACGCACGCACACGTGCACACTTAGCTCCAGACGTGCTTTGTCAGTGCACTAGTAATAGTAGGTTTCTGTTTATAGAGAGCTCTATTTTAAGACTCACAACAAGACTCACTGATTACAGGCCTCTCTCTTCTGTCCCCCCCCTCTTTGTGCTCCCCTTCCCCACAGTCGTTCCCCTCCGTATAACTCCTCATCCTTTTATTTTTCTTGATTTTTTTTCTTAACCCTTTCTCTCTGTTTCTTTCCACTGTTATTCACTTTCTGGTGCTGCGTACAGAGCCTTGACATTCTCCAGAAGCTTTTCCTTGGTATTATTCACAGATTTTCAAACCCTTTCACCCTTACCCACCTACGCCTTTGTTCGTGTTAGTGTGGCCTTTCTGAATATGATCAATCTCAGATATCTGCTTATGAATGCAGAATCTGTAAGCGACTGTATACTGAGCTTTTATAGTCTGAGTTGCATTCATCAATCAGGTTTAAGCGGCCTTTGGTTGCATGCAGATAAACAACTCCTACCCGATCAATTAAAAATGTGATCATAACTAGTTGAATACAATTTTAAAAAATCAGTCTCAGATACAAGTAAAAGAGGTGCAACCAATCAATGAAAGACCTGGAAACAGCTTTTTATGTTATGGTAATATGGCTACTTGTAAAACAATCCTGTCGTTTTTGCCACTCAACACCAACTCCATTCTCGTGTCTCAAACGGCTCATCAGGATGTAAACAATGCACAGTAGAGTAAGTCTTGGCCAGGATATCCGCTTGCTACACCGGACCCCCCAACGTATTGGCCGTTGACAGATAGTGGATGGTGTCTGAGATTGGAGCATGATGCTCTTCACTTGGTTGTCTTGTTCTCCCTTCACAGCGCGGTGGTCAGAAGACGACTCAGCAGTAATTTATGAAATCTGAACCCGCAGTTTCTTTTCAACCCTGTTCCTTGTAAACCTTATCCATATCTCTGCCTGCCATGTTGTCGCAGAGTCTCCAAATTGCGCAAAAAACTGTCAAGTCAACCCTTAGTGGGTCTCATGAGGATGTTTCTGGTTTTATAGATGGAAGGCTATACACTCTTTATACCTCAGTGTTTCATTTCTGCCAGACCCAGACACCAATCATTACTACAGAACTGTGGGGATACAGAGTGTGTGTGAGACAGAGAGTTTGTGTGTGCGTGAGAGCAGTGGTGGCGCTATGTGGTATTGTTGAGGGCCCGGTTTGGTTTTTGTTTGGAATCGGGCCTGATGTTTAGTCTCCTCAGCAAATATCTCCTCTGCCCGCCTGCCCTTGCAATTACACTCTTTAACAGTGAATCCAGTGTAGCTGCTCTCCCATGGCTCTGCAGTTTATTTCTGCATGTGCCCTGAGTTTGTGACTTCAATAGTGTTGAAAGATGCAGTCACTAAATTGTACAGATGTGTGTAGTTGAGAAAGTTAAAATGATTGTTTACTTCCAGGATTGGCTTAGTCTGAGAGCAAGAGGCGAGGACTCATTGGCAGTCTAGCTAAATAATGTACACATTTGGTTTTGAGACTAGTGTTATTCCATCACAAGATGATCTCTATTTCCTGCTTGCTTCAAGTGGCCAGAAAATCAAGCACAAAGTATTTCTCTATAACGTCAACATTTCAAGACAAAATAAGTATAGTATGAAAATAAAAAATGTCAAACCTAGTCCCCAATACATATAATATAAAATAAATACCCATCATACCACTAAAGCCCTTTGCATTTCGACCATAGACAATACTGATAACTGAAGTTGACTTTGGCAGAGCAGTGTGTTCAAGTTGCACGCATCTCTGCTTGTCTAGCTGACATCTCTCAGTGGATGTCTGCTCACCACCTCAAGCTCAACCTTGACAAGACTGAGCTGCTCTTCCTCGCGGGAAAAGATTGTCCCACTCTTGACCTAACAATCAACATCGGCACCTCAGTTGTTTCCCCGACTCAGACTGCAAGGAATCTGGGTGTGACCCTAGATAACAACCTGTCCTTCACTGCAAACATCGCTGCTACAACCCGTTGCTGCAGATACACGCTTTACAACATCAGGAAGATACGTCCCCAGCTGACTCAGAAAGCGACTCAGGTTCTGGTCCAGGCTCTCGTCATCTCACGCCTAGACTACTGCAACTCCCTCCTGGCTGGTCTACCTGCATGTGCCATCCGACCTCTGCAGCTCATCCAGAATGCAGCGGCTCGTCTGGTCTTCAACCTTCCTAAATTCTCCCACACCACTCCGCTCCTCCGCTCCCTTCACTGGCTTCCGGTAACTGCTAGAATCCACTTCAAGACACTGGTACTTGCTTACCATGCTGCGAATGGATCTGGCCCTTCCTACATCCAGGACATGGTTAAACCGTACACCCCAGCACGTGCACTACGCTCTGCATCAGCCAAACGACTCGTTGCGCCCTCGCTGCGAGGGGGACCCAAGTTCCCATCGGCGAAAACACGTGGGTTTGCTGTCCTGGCTCCAAGATGGTGGAATGAGCTCCCCATTGACATCAGGACGGCAGATAGCTTGCACATCTTCCGGCGCAAACTGAAAACTCATCTCTTTCGACTCCACTTCGAGCGTTAGAACTATTAACGAAGTACTTTTATACTAATAAAGGACTGGCTTACCTAAAGCCAGTTGAGTAGCACTTGAAATGTTTGGCTCTATGAAACCTGATGTACTTATATGATTCTGTTTTCTTCAAGGTTGTGTCTTCCTGGTCGAATGTACTTATTGTAAGTCGCTTTGGATAAAAGCGTCAGCTAAATGCAATGTAATGTAATGACTAATTGCTCATTGTAATAAAACACGTTCTTTTGGACTTTCCACTTTCAGGTGGTGGGGAGAACTGGAGCGAGAGAGGAGAGACGACCGGAGGAGGATGGAGGGAGAGAGGGGAGGCAAGAGGAGACCCTAATAAATGTGAAAACCGAGAAAGACTGTGGGAGAGAGGAGGAGGAGGAACGAGAGGAGAACATTTTCACCCTCATCCCAGAGGTCGATCGCATCGCAGCAGAGGCAGATACCAGCTGGCCCCTAGGTAACCGTGTGGATATATATCGATATGATATACTTTATTGTCTCTGTAAGGACATTTGTTCTGGACTCCGTCCTGCAGTTCCACATACATGTACATATACAAACATAGTAAACATTAAAATACATACACATATCATCACTCATACACCGTTTGAACAAACACAATACACAGACGCACATACTGACAATGGCGACCTATTGCACAACCCTCATGGCCAACATTTAAAAAGTACATTTCATTACATGTGAATGTTAAGAAGCTTAATGGACATAGGTAGGAATGAGTGCTTATAGTGATCAGCCTGCTCTTCATCTTCTTCAATGTTTCTTCTGTACTTATCTGCTCTAATGTCATTGTTCCTCCTCTCCTCTCCTCTCCTCTCCTCTCCTCTCCTCTCCTCTCCTCTCCTCTCCTCTCCTCTCCTCTCCTCTCCTCTCCTCTCCTCTCCTCTCCTCTCCTCTCAGATGGTCACAGCCTCCTGCACCAGGAACATAACCCCTAACCGAGTGGAGAGAAGAGGAGGATTAAAGGGGAGGATTTGAGGAGTTAAGAGGATGGGGAAGACGTGATGAAAGGAGCAAAGTAATCAAATTTCTCTGAACAAACTGATTAGTGAATTAACCCGTCAGGAATGTTTGTCTAAAGGATGCAGAAGGTAGATATACGGGGATTAGGAGGAGGCAGCATGAAGAGATTAGGAATAAATCATTCAATTTACCAGTTTAACTTGAATTTGTCTTTTTGTGCTCGAAATTGTCCTTACAGATTACATTTTTTTAAAGTCAATAATTTTAAAGCCAGTACTTTATTTTAGGGCAACTTAACTGTCTCACAGTGACAGCAGATTTTAAATATACATGAGCACTCCCCAAACAAACACAGAAATGCCACTTCAAATGGATTAATGGTTAATCCTCAAGGCTGTTTTTACCTCTTATCTCTCACAATAAAAAGAGAAAGATCTTAAAAGCTGTGTGTGTCCAGTGGCATAATCCTTTTAAAGGAATGGTTTCAACTGGATAAACAGTAACGCTAGTTTCAAGTATCGGCTGGGATAGGGCTTCAGCGCCAGAGATTGACACACTTCTGTAAACTGATACCAGGAGCCATTTTATACAATAGATATTAGGTTATACGTAAACTGGAGTCTCTTAAGATATTTTCCCTTGAATTGTTACATCTTTTGTTTTCTTTCTTTCTGTCTCCTCGGAAAACACATGGAGGTCTTTCTTGTTGGAACAACCACTTTTATTCTGTGCATATAATGAAACGTTATTCTTGAATTCAATTAAGACCCAGAACCAGATGACACTATTCGGCCTGACAACATTAAAACCTCACTGCATTAAGCTGAGTGTGTGGTTTGTGTCTGTGTCTGTGTGCGTGTGCGTGTGCGTGTGTGTGTGTCTGTGTGTGTGTCTGTGTCTGTGTGTGGGATTGTTGGGTTGTTGAGGAATGTATAGCCTTTACAGCCGAGCTGACTGTCTTCCTGTTGCACCGTGAACGTCGTAAAACCCACCGGAGAGGAAAAGGATGCAGAGAAAGTTCCACAGCCTGAGTGCTTTCATTCCTCTGTGTTTGAGTGTGTGTGTGTGTGTGTGTGTGTGTTTTCCTATAAGCAGAGCATTAAAGAAATGTGAGAGTACATTTCTCAACGGATGGAAACATCTGAGGGGAAATCAGAGTGTTGACACAGTGATAGTGAGACTCTGTTTGGCGTGGCTGAGTTACATCGCTTAGCTCTCCTGAGGTTCAATGACACTCGTCACACAGGCCTACATTCAGGCTGCTTATCAAGCTATATATATCTTACATGCACTGAAGATACACACTTATCATTCTATTTTAATGCAGTATGGAAAATATGTATCCTTAAAATAATGAACGCCAACATGTACATTTGTACATTAGTACAGTACAGTCTCTCAAATATCCCTTCATAGGAATACTTTACCCCAAAAATGATCATTTGTGTACCAATTGCCAGCCTGTGTTACCAACTTTTTATTTCATACCTTTATGACGATCAAACAATACAAAAACTGAGAAAAAGTTAGTCTTTAGATATGGTTTTGCTTTTGTTAACGCAGCCCCACATTTTTAATAAGACTTTTCTCTGTTTTTTTCACCAAGGAGTCAAGCAAAAAGAATACAGTGAGTAGTTGATACACAAAAGATAATTTGGAAGGGAAACTCTTAAATATGACTGTTTTATGAACATTAAGCTGTGGATGGCGAGAAACCAATGCTATTGGAGTGCATAAAGTAATACGTTCATTACAGAGCAAGTCATGTATTGAAGAGATGTTGAATCTTTGCTAAAAGTGACAGAATCAAATTAAACATGTTATTTGCATTCTGAAGTTGTATTAGGCTTAGAGGACCAGAAATAGAGCCCTTTAGTGAATATTAGAGTTTTTAAGGGGATTTGACCAAAGCATCCACTCCCTGTTTTTCTTCTCAGTCTACAGGCAGCAGAAGAAACAACAGAGAAAGTGTGCGTGTAAGCGCGTTTTGAGGTTAGTGACTGTGGAGTGTGTGAGGGTGTGTACCATGAGGAGGGGCAATAAGGGTGGGGCAGGCAACACACACACACATGACCCGGGTCCATTAGCCCCTTCTACATAATAACAATAACAGGAGGAGGAAGCAAAGGATGGAAGGTTAAGAAGAGAGGAAGAGGGAAAGAAAACTGTGTAAATGAAGGAGAGGAAAGGTAAACATTGAGAAGAGGAAGATGAGGAGCGGAGGAAACACACCAGAGGGGTGGTCGATGGAGAGGTGGAGGACTAAGAATAGAGAAAACAGGATGAGTGTGGAGTAAAGAGGGGAGGGGAAGACAGAAGAGTAAAAAAAAACACAAGCAATCTTGAGTCGGTAGTCTTGCCTCAACCACAGGAAACCCTTTTGGCTGCCCGACAGATCGGCTTCCTGTGTGTGTGTGTGTGTGTGTGTGTGTGTGTGTGTGTGTGTGTGTGTGTGTGTGTGTGTGTGTGTGTGTGTGTGTGTGTGTGTGTGTGTGTGTGTGTGTATGTGTGTGGTGGAGGTCTGGGCGTGGTCCCTCCAGCAGCAGGGAGGCAAAAAAGTTGAACCCCCTTTCGAGGCCTCCTCCCTGGGATAGACTCAGGCCTCCTTCCCCTCCGGTGACAGTCATTCAACAGGCTGTCATTTTTTTCTGTCTTAGTCTCTCTCTGTCTTATCTAAAGTCTCTGAGGCTCTCTTCCTGCCAAAGTCATCAAGCGAGGCACCCAATTGTGTTACCCAGCTGCCCCAAGGGGATTTCATTTAAACCCTTGTGGTGTCCAATGGGTGGCACCTAAATGGGTCCCATCCTGACCACTAAACCACTTCAACAAACTTTAGCCGAAGCAGCCAGGCCACTTTGAGGCAGAGCTCTTGAATCCACACATTTACCTCTGGAAAGGTGAGGTGTGGTGAAGTATTTGATATGATGTGTTTTGATATGACGACGTTTACTTTTATGATTTTAAAGGGATAGTTCAGATTGATTGAAGTGGGGTTGTATGAAGTAGGCTACTTATCTATAATAAGTCTACCTACAGTACGGTAGATGACGGATGGCACACTCCCGGGAAACAGAAAGGTGTAACGGCAGATAGTAAAGCATTGTACTGCAGTGGATGGGCGGAGCTGCAAAACATGTTTTAGCCATATTTTCTTTTCCATTAACCAGTCTCTAAATAATAGCAGAGCCCATAACGTGTTTTCAGATGATTTCTCCATTCTTGTCTTAGTTAGATTTGTTACAACTATAAAAGTGTTCTCAAGGTGCATGCCCAAGACCCTGTTAGTGAATACAGAGCAGCAAAACACTTTTCTTCTTGCTGTTAGTAAGTGTTGTGCGCAGGTGTGGACCGTCTCTGGGTATACATAACCCCATAATAGTATCTCCATGTGGTTGAAACAGGTTGAAACATGTAATTCACTTATGTTGTCCGTACTTAATATTTTCTCATCATCCTCAGCTGTACTTTTTTGTGTTAATCAGCAAATGGTTACCAGTAAGTGCATGAGATGCATAATGCTCCCTTGTTGTTCAAATTCTGCAGCATCCAATAACAGCATTTTGGGAGAAAACTTGAGAGAAGACAGCAATTTACCTGAACTACAACACCACCTGTTAACACATGAGCATGCTGTTAGCGAGTGTAATTGTTATTATTATACGGGGAATTACACATGTTCTAGTTAGTTAACAAGCACCTTCAAATTGGTGTTTAGGCTACTCTTAAGATACAGAGTGAGCATAAGAATTGGAAAACCGGTTAAACACATTTTATAAATATTGCAAATCTTTCTTTTGTCTCAATTAACCCCTGTATTTATGCAATGATGTGTCTTTATTCATCAAAGCTGTTGCTACAAAGACGATGGCCTGTTTGTTTTCTTGGTTGAATTGTGTGTGTGTGTTGTGTAAGTGTGTTTTTCTCTGTGTCTGTGTGTGTGTAAATACACAAAGAAAGAATCTTGGCCACAGTAATGGCTCTTTTGTTGTTTTTGTCGCACGCACCAAATTGACACAGTCGTCCAAAAATACACAGAGCCATAGTGAGCAAATATAACCCTTCTGTATTTACAGCAGAGACTATAAATACAAACGTCTTTCTTTAGCTGAGGCCAAAACACAGAGGGAACAACTCCCAGACTGCTTTGTGCATGTGTGTGTTTGAGTAACTCAAACTAAACCAGGCCTATTTAATTGGCAGCTCTTCTACAACCTTTATTTTAAATATACAATTGTGCTAAAAAGATAAAATAACATGATTAAAAATGTCTGGTTTACCTTGAAAATGTAGTCTGGTTTAACGGCACCTTGGCTAACAACTTAAAAAACAAACAACAAACTTCTCATTTCTATATGTCACACCTAGAACAGTGTGGCGTATTGAGAGCTAATGTTCTTGCAGGAGTTCCTGCTGTTCTTGGTTTGTGTCTTCATGGTTGATTGCACTTACTGAAAGACGCTTTGGATAAAAGCCAGCTTAATGAAATGTAAAGCAATGTTTCACACGGGACTTCTTTGAGTGAGAAGATGATAAAACATACCAGTTATTTGAGTCTAATAACCACAGATAACACTCATTAAATCAGCTGAAAACACTCACCAGGTGTCTTAAGGTTTTTACTGCACAGAAAAGGGGGCGTGGCCTCTCTCTTCACCACCAGGTCAACATCAGCTCATACACTGTGTTTGGGTCCAGTGGTGGCTCTCTGTCCCGCCCTCCCTCTGCTCCTCCTATCAGCTCCCTCCCTTACTCCTCTCATCCTCTTTTATCTCTTTCCACCTCCACCCATCTCTCCCTCGCTCTTTTGCCTCTGTTGCGTATCTCCAACCCCCCCCCCCCCCCTTCTCTCCTCTCCTCTCCTCTCTCTCTGTCCTTGAAATGAATGCTCTCTGACTAGTGGAACATATGCTGCTGGTTGTTCAATACCCTCCCTCTGAGCGGGGGCGCATCCATGCATGTGTGTGTGTGTGTATGTGTGTGTGTGTATGTGTCGTGGGTGTGTGTTTGTGTGTCTGTCCCCTGTGTGAATACGTGTGTGTGTTCATTGAAACATATGCCTCCTGTTGCACATCGGCCATCTGTTCCTTGAATGGACTGATGGAGTGCTGCTGTAACCATGGTGATAGGCCATTCAGTCAAATAGCCCGTCAAACAACCCCTGGCTCTGTATGTATGTGTGTGTGTGTGTATGTGTGTGTGTATCTGTGTGTGTGTATGTGTTTATGTTTAGGAATTGACTGGCAGAGTGGAGGAATTCCCACATGTTGATGAAATGAGATTGACCTTTTCAAGACGACCCACTCCTACGTTATCCCGTTTCTCTTTTATTCTCCACATTCACACACTTGTTTTTCATACTGTAGCTGACTGAGGTCATTGTCCTACTAACCCAACCTCACCATTTACACAGCAGGACACACAACATTTTACAATACACCATTTAAAGACAAAGATAGAAATATCTACATACACTTTTTACCAGAGAAAATAAAAGTGGGGAAACTTGACTTGTGTTGTATTTAAATCAGTGTTAATCTAAACATTTAATATTACGAAGAAGTTAATTAGTTACATAAATTGTTGCTTTGGATGTTTTTTAAAACATGCCTTTAGCTCTTGCTGAAAGTGTTTTGTTTTGTTTAAGTATTTTTTGTATTTTTGGCCTTAGGGAAGCTTGAGAAACAAACTATTTTCAATGATTTTATTATGATTATTTGTGGTTGAAATACATCTGTAAAGTTTGAAGGTGAGAAAATGTTAACAGTTATATTAAAAGTTAATTCACAAAGACAATATTATTTGTTACACACAAACACAAGCAGC